TAAAACTCCTATAAGTTGTAAAATGGTAATCTAAATTCATAACAAGGCTTAGAAAATTAGTTTGAATCACATGTGATTGCCCTAAATAGTTCAAATTAACCATTTCTTACCATGGGTGAGTTTACGGCCGTAAACTCTATGAGTGTGGCCGTAAACTCATGTTTTAAATGATGTAAATTCATTCCAAGTGTTCCAAGGCATTTTAGATAATCCATTCTAGCATCCCTAATGTCCATTTGAGCCCTTAAACATCAAAACCACACCACATGAGTTTACGGCCGTAAACTCATGTATGTGTGTTGTTCCATAGTTGTAAACTCTCTAAAATGTTTACTCTTGGGGAGTAAACTCAAGTCCCAAGTCCCTAGTGCCATTACACGTCCGAAGATGTCACCCGGGTCACTCCAAACGTTCGTTTTGAAGGTGTTTAACCTCATTGGAGTGTAATGTTCCATATGATTAGTGAATCTATCCCTAATTGTATATATATGGACATTATTTCATTTTACATAGGAACATCGCAAGTAATCAAACCCCGAACCAACGTCTAGCATTCAAAACCGATACGTTTCCGAGTCCGGTGAGTTCATACCCCTACCCTTTTTCACTGTTTTCATTGTTTTCAGGGGGGAACACAAGCAAAGTACAAGGTAAATTCTTGTACTCAAAACATGTTTTCAAATGTGTGTTTCATATTTCATATGCTTTTATAACTGATTACTACACTGATAACAGATTGAACATACAGATCACGTAACATATATTTGTGAAATAGGTCTTTAAACTAGTATGTTTTACATATATTTCACAAATGGTTTCCCATTTTATCAGTTAAAAGCATGACATTAAACATTTGAACATAATATATGTACACTGTTTTGTCCTCGGTAACACTCCACACACATACACGAGTGGAGGACTATCATATTATTACTAGTAAATTTGTTATTCCTGTATGATTGGAGACACGTCCTCGGAGAACACTCCACCGAGATACGCGAGTGGAGGACTACACCCATAACCAGAATCTCTGGTATTTAGAGAGCGTGACTTGAGTGTATAGATCTATACGGGGCTGACTACCCACACCTGGCTGCTAGCTACAGCCGAACCGAAATGGTTCAAGGGTGACGAAAGTCATAAGTATGTGGACGACTTATTGCCACATGTGGACTACTTATTGCCACAGGTTTTAGTCTATTGTATGGTTATGGAACTCGCAATTAGGATAACAGAGATTTACTTATAGTAATAATGAATTACTTTATACATCTTTTACATCTTTCACTTACTGTAACTAACATTCAGGAAAGTACGGGACTTTCCTGGGGAAAACATGGAAACCAATCACGATTACATCTTTTACATCTTTAACATCGTTTACATTAGAAACCAACATGCAGGAAAGCATGGGGCCTTCCTGGGTAACACTTACATAACTAGAAAGAGTAAAAACTGGATAACATTACATCTTTTCAATTGTAACATACAATAAGGAAATATGGGACTTTCCTGGTAACACATGATAAGTAAACAGAACAGTTTAACAGTCAGATAATCAACTATACATTTTCACATGAGTAGACATGTTTTCAGTGTACAAACTTACTATACTTTACATTTGTGAAACAATAACCAACTTTTAAGAAAATGTGGGATTTTCTTGGTGTTCATAACATTTCAGAAACATAAAGGAAACCGATACATTTTCATAAAACAAAACCGCTTATGAACTCACCAGCTTTATGCTGATTTTCAAACTGCTTGTGTTCTCAGGTCAGCGTTAGAACAGGTACCGAAGATCCTTTTTGCTCGAAGACGGAGTACATGAAGATCCGTTTCATTTTTTTTATATATACTATGTATCACAACTGTACAAACTTTACTTTTGAAACAACTGTAAAACTTCTTATGTAATGTAATGGTTGTTTTACTTTACTTACTATGTGCATTGGATTTGAT